GCAGATTTTTGCCTTCTGCAGACCTTTCTAATAAGCAGACGACGTGACGAACAAGATTTAGCATGCTTACTTCAGAACTAATAAAGAAGGTGCCTCTTTCCTTTCAAATGCTCCTGAAGACGTTAGCGTTTACTTTTACAAAACAGATGGCCTTCATAAACATAAGAACAGATTTCAACATGCCTACTTCAAGAATTAATACGGAGAATGGAAATTTTCTCGTAACGCTTCGGTCTGAATGTGACGTTTTCGTTTACCTTACCAAAACTGATTCTCCTCATAGATATAAAAAGAGCCCTTTTTTGCATGAGGCTATTTATTTCGTCAACCCATCTTCATCTTCTTCCATCGCCGCTTCTCCTTTCGGCTCGCGGAGGCAGACGCGTCAGACAGTGCTTCCAACGTTCCCGATCCTGTGCCAGCGTCTCAGCTTCGGCAAAAGACAAATGCAGTCTGGAACAGATTCCTTCCACATGTTTGCAGTAGGTTAATCTTGGCCGTTCCCCGGGCCTTCAGCCGGTCAGATTTGCGAGGAACAGTTGCTTAGCCTTCCTTTCTGGAGGCATTCGCAACACATGCCCAAGCCATCGCAGCTTCGTCAACCCAACCATTTGTTATTTGTTGCCAGGTCTTTCTGGTCCCCGTTGCATCTTCCGAACAAGAATCAGTTTAGCTTTCTCTAATCCGTCCTTGCTACCTTCCACTCTTCCTTTATTAGGTAAACGCTTGGGTTGACATTCGGGGTAGCTTTGAAAACCACCTGAAGCAGATATTACATAATAAACCTTACTCACAGTAAACGTCACCTGACAAAGTCATCCCTTCGCGTATTTGTCATATGCACCTGCGACTTTTTCGTATCTACTTTAACCGACTTGATAATAGCGACGTTACGTCACGTCATTCAGACTCTTAGATGTAATGTAAAGGTTGTAGATGACAATGGGATAGGTTTCATTGGGCACTCCTGACTTACGATTGATCGCGCTCGACCGATTCAACTTTCATGTACGATCGTTACACGGATGTGTGTAACTTTGGGGGAACTTTCTTGATGGCTTAAAAAATGCTTTAAAGATTTTAAATAGGAAATTACAGGCCTGCTTTCGAAAATTTCCAACGTATAGCGAAATATAATGCAGTTAAATAGTGGCATATTGACAACAGTAAGCCTCAAAAAATTGTTTTGTGTTAAACCTTTGCGATCAGTGCTTCAGAGAAGAATTGGATTAATGGCGGGAGTAATAGAAATCTCTTCATTTCTAATGCTCTTCTACATCTTTCCTCAGGAACATCATCAGTGTGTCAGATAATCAACAAAGTCGGTCTGAAAAAATCGTTATATTTCACATTTTGGTTTATTTCAACTACCTTTACATTAATACTATCGTAGAGAATGGCGGTGCACGTAATTATACCGGTTTGTGCGGCACTATTGTATCACCTCTGCTTTGAGACCTCAAATAGGGGGAATATCTCAGTGGATAACGGTTCAGTGGCATTTGAGCACCGGCGGAGCATGGATGAAACAGAGCATCACCGAGTTAGACACGATTCACGAACTTTCATTCGCCAGCTGGAGGTTTTGGCTTTAGCAACACGCATATTGGTGGCGTATATGATCATATTTTTTAACCCAAAAACTTCAGTTTATTTTTAACCTTTTGGTTTACACTAACTACCCTTGGCATGCACCAACGCAGCCGTAAAGGATAACGATTTATATCATTGCAATAGTTGTGTATGTCGTGAGGTAGTACTGTACTGTTCCCTGCTTCCAGGCACCCACTAATACTAACTAAACAGGTCTCCACTTATGGCATTTGAGCAACCGCAGTGCGTGGGTACAGTGAGGCATCAGTAAGCAGAATGTGAACCAGACTCGTTAAATGGGGTTGACTTCTGAGGTGTTTGGACCCCCACGCTAGAGTCAGCGTCAAATATTCCACAAGGCCAGTGATAAAGCACTTATTACCAGTTTACTATTTGAACCTTTTACTACCAGACATTAGGAATGCTGAAACTCTTAATAGAAAGTAAGTGCCTAAGGGCCTTACGTTTTGTGCGGATGAATCGCCTAAATGAGTTAATGCAGCATAGTCAAAAGCTGTGATTGTTCATGTCGTATTAGCACCGTGCAATCATTCCGGCTTCTGTAAAACATTATGTCTGTGGCTCCTTCTTGCTAACGATAAATTCTCTAAACCCATATCTCGTCTTCTTCGTACGGAGGGCAAAGGTAGAGTGACATATTACGATAATTCTTGACAATGCGGAGCAGTGTAGGCGATGTGCTCCCTAGCCGCGATTACGGTCGTGAAACTTTTTCGCGATCACAGAAACAACCAACTGATGCGGTTCTAGTAAGCGTATTCCCATTGCACAGTGGACAAGTTATCCAATGACATGGAAGCAAATGCTGCTGTTCAGTTGGTGGACAAAAGAGCCTCTGCTCCTCGGAAAGAAAGGAAAGCTAGTCGCAGTTGGAATGTCGTTCTTACTTCACTTTCATGATTCGGCCGCCCATTTTAGCGCCCCTCATTTCATGAAGTTCGTGATACGGTACTGTTTTCAGTTTTCGTTTTACGTTGTTGCATGCCAAGAGCCAGAAATGCATTATTTTTTAAAGGCACAATCTAAGCCATGTGGCAAGCGTAGCGTGTGGTTTCAAGTATCCTTCTCATAGAATGGTACTCACTTTTTAATCTCAGAAGGAAAAAGGGCGGGTGACCCCGACTGGAGCTTAAATTCTGGGCCCGCTGATTTTGAGTTTGACGCCCTTCTGACTGTTCAGTTCCAGTCTGAGGCAATGTGTAGTAAATTCCTTCATCAAGGGAGTTCGTGAATAAAACAGGTTGCTCTTGAGCGGAATCGAACACAGAACCTGCGGAACACGAAGCACACATTTTAGACAACTGTGCCGACCCGCCAACAGTGCTCTTCGGAACTAGAGGTCGGCTAGAACTTAAAGGCAAAAACTTGCTCACACGAGAGTACGAGTTTTATCATCCTGCACTGCTTCCTTCCCACGGAAAGATTCCACCTACCGCTCATTATGAACGATGTTTCAGAAGCCAGCACTCGAATCAATTCAGCAAGAGAAAGCATCTATTTTACAACAAGGCCTTAAACCAACACGTGAGTATGCGTCTAGCTTTTAAACGAGATCCTTCTATAAATTATGCTATAGTGTCGTATGATAATCCCTAAAGCAGGAACGTTTTCAGGATTTTTCATCCGACAAAAACTGCAAATGTAAGACTATTCACAGATTGAGGAAATTTGATTTTAAAAGAGGATGCACAGGTGTGTGAAAGGAAAAATCCAGGAGGTGACAGATATCATATTTGCATGTTCTTACATTTTCAGTGGTTTGCCGCATTTAAATGCAGCAAGACAGAATCTGACAATTATGGCAAACTCCCTGATCATACTTGTAAGAGTTCTAAATGGCGGAAGAAGAAAAGAAGTTCAAATCTTTTTATTTTTTATCTTGAGATTTCCTCTGCTGTATATTTCTTACAAAGCCGAATTATTGCACTCCCCTTTTGGTGAATTTAAGCGTTCATTTAACGCAGTCCGGTATAAGAAATGATCTTTATGATTTCATGTTTATTCGGCAGCAACGAGATAAGCAAAAAACTATTTAGTGAACGAAAAGATGAGAGTGCCTTGAACATTGCAGGGTTTCAGTTACCATGTAGTCATGGTCAGCTTAACTTTATTTAACCGGGATGCAAGAGGGAAGGAACATACAGTACGCCACGAAATGCGGTTTTGGAGAATTTAAGGGCTTGCTAGAAAATAGCCAACGGTAAGATCAAAATCAACAAACGAAACTTAAAAATGGTCCATAGATAATGATTACAGGAAATGCAACCATTAAGCTTAAAATCAGTGTCAGCATTCTTGAATCATTAGTTCTAAGCGGAAACCATGTACCTACGAACATGGAAATATGCGTAATTTGCTATACCTTAATTGTTTGCACAAATTCACACAAAAAACAGCGTGAACATAAATTCAAATAATTCGTAATTTAACTTTATAAACAAATTTAGAAAGTGGATTATTTATACGCGCGGTGTATCATGTGTTAAATCAGTCTCGCAAGGTAAGGGAGTTGAGAATCATCGGTTTATAGGGCTAGAGGTTGTCGGCAACAGCTAGTTCCTTTGGAGATAGAAATCGTAATTTATTGAAGACGGGTTGGCCTAAAATAAGAACACAAAGACAAATGCGAAAGAAGCAACGCAATATTTTGAAATTCCTACCGATTCTGTAGAGTTGCTTGGAAAGAGAAGTTGCTGGCAAAGCTGTTCGGAGGCAATGATGACAGACGAATAGGAGATCCACGGACAAAGAAATCATTTTTCTGAGTCGACAATAACCACTTTATCTACAGACAGAAAACAGAAGCGCAGGTTAAATAACAAAAACAGAAACTGTATATAAAACAGCACAAAGTAGAACTGTTACGTTAGAGATAATTCAGTACATGAAAATGTTCCTGCGGAGAGCAAATGTATTTTCAAACACTGTTTCGTCGTGGATGTGAAAATAGACACAAGACCCCGATGGATGTTGGCGCTGATGATTTTTCATTAGATTTAGTCGGCATTATTTCGACAGACGAACGAGAGTTTGAAAATGCACAAACAGACTCGAATAATAATGAAAAAATAAACGACAGTTACAAGCTTAGAAAAAGAATTGTTAAGTGAAGTTCTAAGAACCAAAAAGTGTTCGTTCTTAAACATAAATCAAATAAGAGTGTCAACATGTCAAAGAAAATAATTAAACAAGGGTAATAGATATAAAGTAGTGATAGCAGTTTTATAAGATGCCGAACGCGGTTAGTGACGAGTTTTAACGGAACCGGTCAGTGGAGCTACTTTTTTGGTACATGACAGCAAGGATCACAGTGGCGGCATGCCTGACACAATCCTAAAGATCATATTGGCAAGAGTCAAGGTGTCTGTACGTGGCCTGTGCGCGCGATGCGTGTACAAAACCTAGACGAAAAGAAAGGTGACGAGGTTGTTTTTGTTGTAGCTGCGGCGGCAGTTATGGCTAGCAGCAAAAGAGAGGTCGTCTTCCGGCACCAAAGAACGCAGGTGTGGCCGTGAGAGCGGTACAACGCTGCTGGAGCACAATCGTCGATGACCACCGTCCATCAGATCCCGTTTTCCTCGTTTTCAACTTCGATCTGCCGTCGCCTCGGCTGGGCGTCATGAATCGAACTCCAAAACCGCATTCCTCGAGCAGCGATGAGTCACCACGGTCAAGAAAAGTACGTTTATATCCCTGTTATTGGACGCGAGGTTCGTAGCTTACTTTGGACTATTGTTCAGCCGGAAAAATCGACTTGTGACCCTCATTGAATTTTTTCTTTTCTTTTCGCCTCTCAGCGAATCAGCCGCAGTCAGTCACGTTTTATCGATTTGTTGCCTGTTGTTTTTCCTCGTCCGTGTTTTTGTTCGTCATGCTGACATCGCATGGTTTTTCTGAATTAATCCTCTTCGACCGCGAGGTTCAGCGTGTATATGTATATATATCCAACGAACTTGTCCTTAACTCACTCTGTCATCGATCTAGAGGGACCATTTCCTTTTGCTGAAATCCAGTCTACCGTCTCATTCAGCCAGCGACTGTCATAACTAGTAATGGTTATTAATTATTAGTTAATGTGTTTCCGTTTGAAGGAGGTCCAGCGATCGGTTCGCGGCCGTGCAAGTGCACGTAATGGATTGGGACGAGAAGTACGCGGGCTGGGTTCCGTTGGAAGACGACAGCTTGGCCGAGATCGTCATCAAACAACGTGTCCACTACGACCGATCGACGACAATTGCAACAAGGTGCTTCAACAGCGGCAGTTCGCAGAGCAGCTGCGGGGGCGGTAACGTCAATGCAGGACAGCCGAACGCTTCCATCCCTTGCCACGTGTCACCGCGTTACGAGTACATTTTGCACGGCGAGAGTCTTCGCGACCATAAGGTATAAAATGAATTAATTCCTCGTTTGTCGAATTTGCATAAAGACAATGCATTTTCATTTATTGTATCGATACTGTAAAGTTAGAAGATTAAGGAAGATCTAAAATCTGATATCACCTTTTGACTTTGCTAAAATCCTGTACAAATCAGGTAACATAGTGTTAACTCCGAAAGTCATCGTATGTAACTTCGTTCGCATGTGAATGTCTATGTTTTCGGACCAGTCGTTTAGCTTTTCATGTAGCATTTCGGACGTGATGTCTAGAATATTGCAAAAAATGCAAGATACTTTTTCCATGGTGGCATTTGTGGAAATGGTAATGCTAGTGCGGAAGTGAAAAGAGATCAGTTAAATTAAACAAGAAAGTTTATTAGATTTATTAGTTTATTAAACAAGAAATGACCTCCGTTGTAGGATTCACTGTTTGAGTTTGTAGCGTTGTAGTATGGTGAAAACAGCATGAACAGTTGTTTAGTTATACACAGTCCAAACCGTATAGTCAATCGTATGATTTGCCAGAATCGAGGTGTCGGCCCTTACCTCACGAATCTTCTTTAAGGTAAAGAGTAGGCTGACTGTCTTGGTAACTACATTTTTCATTCGCGGTTGTTACATGTACAGCCAGTGGTGGTGTAGGTAGTAATAGTAAGTTCTAGGATTGTATCATAGCCCTCAGATGACTCAAAAATCTGTCAAAACCTCATAGATGCAATTATTCACACCCACATCTTTCCAGAAGAGGATTCATTGAGTAGATTTTTAAAATAGCTACACAGTTTTCACAGTCAGCACAAAGCAGTAGCGAAGAATAATCAATGCTGGAGTTATTGATGTTTTAAATATTTCACCGAAAATCGTATACTGTCTAAACAACCTCAGCAGTTGCGTGTACTTTTAATGATTCCGATTTACAAAACTGGTTAAGTAGTAGCTAATAGTAATTGTGGTAGTAATAGCAGCAACGTAATTTGAATGCCAGCATCAATGCAGGGCGGGAAATGAAGCTGAAAAATGTACTTGGGTAAAGTGTAGCAAAGTGTTTGCCCCACGAACTCTAGCTAATGTACTTGAAGAGCCACAAAACTAAATCTGTTTGGGGCAGCTCATCTCTCGCAACGGGAAACGAGGCCTGTTAAATCAGCGTAACAGTAAAAATGCCATAGAACAGTTTTGAAAGTTTGAAAATGTTGTATCCAGGAGATGGTCATTCTGCTTGAAACGAAATGTAGCGTTTTCGAATAGTGTTTACTCCTAGTGCAAACCTACTGGGTACGAAGCGTTGACCGTAAATCTGCGAGCTGTTCATGAGTTGCAGACCACGCAACACGGCGTGAAAAGATGTATGTTGAAGTAAGGAAAAAAGACGGGAGGACGAATGAATGGGTAAGAGCGATGTCGTTGCCCGAGGGAAGAAAGCTGAGGTGATTTTGGCGGGACAGGTTGCAAGAAGAACCGATTATCTCTGGATTGGCAACACATTAGGCTTGGTTTGCAAGAAAGAGAGAGTCACGACTCGTTGGAAGCGTTCCAGATGAACCGCTAGATGAGCTGAAGAAGTTCGGTGAATCACGACGGAAAAAAGACGCGTAAAGCGTAAGTTTATGGCAGTGTTGAAGAAGCCTTCGTTGGATCGAAGAAAACTGATTATGAGTATGACTGCTAAACTGGGGTACGCTCTACTGCGCCGAAATACATGAGCTGACATAAAAAACCTCTACGTGCATATGTTTTGTTCATGCCCGGTCTAAAGACAGCATTTCCAGCGTAGATTTGTACGGTAATGTTGTGAGATCATAGTAGGTAAAAATAAAGTGGTAACAAAAATGACTGCATGACAAAACTCCTTAATGATTCATCAGAAACCATAAAATGGCTATACGTTTACATATGCACATGTTGTTGTCCATAATGCTTTCATAAGCGCTATTCATTGGTTGGATTTTTAAGTCTGAAGTTAGTATTGAGTAGTAGCTGTTATAATGGTCAGGTAGTGCCAATTATTAGTAGGCAGCAACCGTGAGCGATAGCATAATTTATGTGTAATTTTACATGGTGTCATTTCCTACAAAATTTGCGAAAGTTTTAATTGCATCGCCGCACAGAAAATTTGACGTATCTCTAAAAAGATGTTTATTAACAAAGACAAATGTGTCGTCATTTCTCAGCTCGTATGTCTACTCTGTTGTGTACTTAATTAAATTGTACCATACACTAATGGGATATCGAGTATCGCTTGCTTCAGAAATCTGGCGTTCTTTGTCCTTAGGTTTCATTCCATTTTTACATTTTGATGTACTACAATTGTTTGCTTGATTAAGGTGTTGTTCAGTGTCGAACTATCGCGTGAAGCGAATTTCAAGCAGATCATGCCGACTTTACAGTTCTGGCAGATCGGCGAGTCGAAACTTGCGCTCAAGTTTCTGAACAGTCCTGACGCGGTCAGATTCCGAAGCCGAATCATGAAGGCGATCGAACATCTTTGTCGGCAAAGCAAATCTAGTACGTTCTTTATATTTATGAATAGCTTCAATTGCTAATCATAGCTACTCGCTACCGACTCAAGGGAATTGTAACACCGCCCTTGTTGCCGAACTTTTAGGGGGTCACTTAATTTGGCAGGTAGTGGATCGATGCTATTTTATTACTTCATTATTGGCTTTCTTTTTGGAGTCGATGACCATTACGTATTTTACCGAAACTTCAGGAAGGCATCGCGAACGTCGGAAATACATTCATTTTTTCGTTCATTTTCACAGTCAGTTTTTCGTTTTGAGTTAATTGTTGAGCGGGTTGCCGCATCAGTCGCGATCCTCCAAATCCTGCAATATTGCATCTAAGATGATGCCATGCCACTTGTTCAGTATACAAGTCCTGATCAATCGAGTTCACACCAAGACGGGAATATACATATTTATTTATTTATTCATTTATTCATTAATCTATTCATTCATTCAGCCATTCAACCGCTCATTGATTCACCTAATTGTCCGCACGTTCTTTGGTTATTCCTTTCAGATATCAGTTTCTGCATTGATTTCAGTTCTCTGCTACTCAGACTGCGTCATTCCGAGGTCATTATTCATTATACCTGATTCAGTGCATTCTGATATGAATAGATACATTCGGAAGTACGTACATAGAAACATTCGTTCATTCGTTCGTTCATTCATTCGCTTATTCATTTTCACAGATCGCTATTCCTTTCAAGCTGCAGTTTCAAAAGGTTTTCTACATCCATCGCCTGGATTCCAAGACTTGACAGTACCACGTATCCAATTCAGTATAACATATGGTCATCTATTTTCAGACTGTCCAACACTAGCCATTTAACTTCACTCCAAATGCACCTTGGTTCTGCTGTCTCTCTTCTACATCTTCACTGCATGATTTCGATCTCAAAACGTAACTCCCTGCCAAGGCTGTTTTTATTGCTGGAATATGTTGATATCCGTAATTCGACTGGTTTACATGGTGATAAGCATGTTTAATAAGTCAAACTAGTAATTCATTACCAATTTAATTGCCCACCGTACGTTGAAGAAAACTTGTCAGCTTCTTATCCTGAAACGTACGTTTTGATCCGTCACACAGGACAATCGTGAATTTAAGTGATATAATAAAGGATGATTTACTTGTCATAAGCCTAATTGGTCATTAATTAATTAGCAGTCACGCTTCTCCTGTCAGAAGGATAGCTTTTAACCGTTACTTTGATTACCTCTATTCTTCCAACTTTCTTTTGTTCGGTAAGAAATGGTAGTCTCCAGTTTTTCTGTTCTACAATGCTGAACGTACAAGTATTATAATGGTAGGGTAGATGTTCTCTTTCGTTGTGCTTGTTGAACCCATTAACAGAGTTTTGTAGGCTCGGGTGAATCGATATTGGACATTGAAGAACTGGACGACGACGTGTTCATGGTGAGTTCGCTCGACCATCAGTGAACTCTGACTCGAGTTGGCTTCATCGTCAGAGCTGAGCTTTTCATACTGTTTGTATACGTTGTGTGAATTTTTAGCCCATTGATCTACCGTTGAACCATAATAAAATGTCGGAGGTGCCTTGCCATTACGCCACGACGTTAAATTGCTGCCCTCAGACTTCGTCTGCACCATCTTCGTGTGATCGCGTCAAATTTTTACTACCTCCGCGCTCCGCCATCCATCGGTTGAACTCGTACTCGCACAACATGAAGACGCTGTTGTCGAAGTTAGTTCACCCGCGCTCAAAGTCTACTTCCAAAGATGCCACCATCTGTACCGCGACCTCGGCGGACGTCGTCTTCGACTACCGCAAGCACCACGCAGTCGAAGCACTTCACTCTCAACCTGACTCTGCTTCAGGTCAGTGCCACGGCAGGTCGTTTGCCAATACCAGGCCACAGTCCTTGCCGCAACCGAAGCTTTTCTCTATGAAGGTAATGTCTAATGATTGAACATTTGTTTTTGTTGGCATATATATGGTTATATGTAAGATTTTTTGAACAGCCATTTAGAACAGCATGGCCCAAATGAATCACAAGCCATCGTGCAGTTCGGTGGTCAAAACGCCTGGCGGCCTACAGCCCCTGCTGCTCACTCAACACCGCACTAAGTCCTCGCAGAACTCGTTACACGAGTTCGTCCGCAGGGAGCAGTGCTCATACTGTAGAAACTTTTATTCCGTAGACCAGAATCACCGCGGTGCATGTCCGTGCGCTCCCGACCGCCTGGACACCTTCATCAGAAAGTAAGTGACAGACATTTTCTTGTTACATTTTCTGCGTACCGAAGTACTGGGCAGGGGAAGGGGTTGGTGGAAGAGGAAGTTGCATTATTGTGATTCGAACGCATCCGTTGTTAATCTCTCCAAAGGAAATACAATAGAGTAATTTTTGTATGTACCTTATTATGGTCAGATATGAAATGGTCTGGCCTGATTGATGCCCTTCAGCAACTCTGTCATGCTAAGCCCTGTCAGGAGTAACTTACAATATCCCAGTCATTAGTGCCTTTAGGATTGCTGAGATACAGGAACATGATCTTCACATGTGACATTCTTTCCATTGCACTTCTTCCCGTTTACAGTAAGCAGAGGTTGGATGCCATAACGGAAAGCTAATTGCGAAATTTCCCTAAGATATCGTTCAATAGCCATCTCTAGAAGGTGCCTGAACATTCGCGGCTAAAATCACAAAACTTTTCTGGAGTGTTTTGCCGAACCAGTACATATCCACCGTCGATGAAGGATGGCAGACATGGAACACAACAGTCCAAATAATCAACTAATGCATGACTCCGTTATCCATCAACTTTGTTGCTGACCTGTTGGGGACATGTGGTAGTTCTCCATTAACCGCATGAGAACAATAATCGACAGATATGCGTATCATATGTGCAAATGGAAATTCGGATACTTGCCACAACGGGAGTACGGATAGTCAGATTTTAGACAGTCTTGCCGCAGAATATTTCCTTATAAACTAAACAATGGTTCTGCCAAAGTACACGAAACGTCGAAAACGTTCTTTCATTAAATTTTTTAATTGAAGATCTCACCTTTATGATGCGCCCTCAAACGTCTTTCGGAATGAAGATCGTAGTTGTACTGTTTATTCCATGCTATTTATAGGGTATCCTGCATTTCGTGCGTTGACTGCTTTGTGCGGTGTTGTTGTACGGAGGTGAGCGACAACGAAGCTGCCTGCTGTTTCTGCTGCATGTGCGACAAGGAAGAAGTGCACTTGTTCCGTCTGACGTTGTTGACCGTGCTGTCGCTGATTATGCCATGCCTATGGTGCTATCTGCCCCTGCGAGCTTGTCATAAATGCTATCGCTGTCACGCCAGTCATGGGGGCACTGCTTCGAAGAGTCGCCACAAGCCGATTATCGCTGAATCGCACGTGGAAAAGCCTACCGCCGCTGGGCGACGGGGCGCAGCATCAGATTCTTGCCTCTGATCGGGTCAGTCGTATCAGCGTCCATGGATTCATGAGATTCCGCTTCCACCTGCGTGGCGCAGTCGTGTTATACATTTGCTCCGGAAACTTACACTCAGGTCTTAATTGTTAATTAATTAATTATCGCATTATGCATAGGCGTACATTATTAATTATTACATGACCGAATTGTTATTGTTTATTCATTGTTTACCACAGCCCGTCGTTTGTGAACGCGGCATATTAGAAATGTATCGTTTATGCAGCTGTTATTATTATTGATAAGCCTAAGCATAAATTATGCGTTCTTACTATTTATAACTTGTTTAAATCTGCTTAGCAGTAATAAAATTTTTTGTGTTTAGTATGCGTACTCTTGGTCCAGTGGCCAAAAACGACGTAAAACTGACGGTTTCACAGTTGGAGGGAGTACGGTATCTGCCAGCGATTGCAAGGGGAAATAAGACAAGATGCGGTGGAATACAGATATTTTTCTAGTAGTTTTCACAAGGCATAATGGGTCCTACTGTAATTTGCAGACGAACATCCAAGATTTTAAGCCATTCAGTGGAGAATAGTAGGTGTTGTTGCAAAGAAATTTTCGACAAGATCTGAGCATAGGTTTTCGAAAATAAATAAAGTTTACAAATTCTGGTAGAAGGCTATCTGTGGGTAGGGTTAAACCTGATGCAGTTGCAGTCCCATTTTTTTGATCATGAGCTCTGTTTTTGTACCTTGATTGATGATTGTTCTCGATGCATTTCTAATGTTTGAGTATTAAGACAAGGTA